CACGAGTATGCATACCTTACAACTTGTGAGCAGCGCAGACACAACCACGAAAAGGAGCTGCAAAATCACACTGTAAAGGCAAGGAGATTTTGAGTAATGATTAAACCAAAGTGGTCGCATGACAGCTGTATCTCAGTAGTAAATTGCTACATATTCTGTTGCAAATGAACAAGAGACAGTTAAATTTGTGTAAAAATATTTCTGAATCTTTAATTAATCAAGTTTTAATCCAGTTTTAAATATAAGAAAGCAAGCGAGCTTGCTCCATTTCCTTTTGGAGACTATTCTGCATTGTGAGACAGCTAAATTTTACAGGGTGTCAGCCTTCAAGCTGAAGTTCCTAAAGCTGAAGAGATGTTGTACATAGGACTACAGTATAAAACAGTTTGGGGGCAAAGTAGATTTCCATTAGCAGTCTAAGTCGCAATGAAATGAGAAAATGGGCTAACCTGGTGTTTTAGCTGCTACACAGAATGTTAGACTAAACACAACATGAGAACACAGGGAGAAACCCTACTATAGCCACCAGAGAAAGAGGTAGATGACAGAGTTGTTCTGTCTTTTACTTCCATGATTTTATGAGACAAAAATACATGACTACATCCTGGCTGAAAAAGATGTTTTCAGACCTGCAGTTTCCTGGCTTTATATTTGGGACCGGCTAGCTTGAGAACATTATGTCCGTTGTAAACTCATTTGACCTCATTTTACAAATCTGCAACATGAAAGCTATAATAATGTAACAACTTCTATGCTAAACGAGAGAACTGCTGGTGTAGTTCTTTCTTGCTCAACCTCCACCTCAATATCCTGTTCCCAGGAGTTTGTACTTACACATATCACAGATACTTGCTCTCATCAATACAAAACTTCACTGAATACAGCCAAAGCCTTTTGGAAATACCCCTTGGCAGCATTTGCTTTACCTCTTTACTGAAAACACATGGGAGCAGCCCACTAAAATCAAGAATTCCTAATCAACAAGAGTTTCTCTCTGAAGTGAGGTTTGTGGGGATAGTTTTGTTTTAGAAAGCTTGCAGGGGCATGTGAACCATTTCAGACTGGAATTGAAGAAAGAGGACTTTGGAAAGTTATGGACAAATTCTGCCCTTAGCTTCACAACTGTAAATCTGGAGTAGCCAGATGTTCAAAGAAATCAGTTCTGATTTATACACGTATAAATTAAAGTGTTATAGTACTCCCAGATGTCACAAAACTCAAGAGTCTGTAGAACACAGAAGGACAAACACAGATGACAGACTCCCAGTCAAACTGAAACCGAGGGCCAGATCATGCTTCCTCTGCACAGATCTGCCTTTGCCATACTTAAGGAACAGTTAGTTATAGCCAGGTTTCCTGCCCTCCTAGGTTGGATCTTGGAGCAGTAACTCAACATTATTAAGGCTCTCAGTAGCATAACTATGGGTGGGGGAGGGGAGTGCACCAGAATGGTGGCAGACACCTGGGCTCTGCTCTGGGTGAGCCCATGCCATAGCAGGTGAAACTCTACTTGCCTACTCCAACCCCTGTTCTCCAGCACTCAAGCACAACCCCTTCCCCACCACCCCTGCACCCAGGAGCAAAAATATTTAGTCGTGTATCTAAATGCTAAGTATCCTGAGGACAGCAGAAGTGGAGGACAATGCACTCGTTCCCTCTCATCCCACAGCCTGGAATTATAGTAACATTTCAGTGGTCACCATCCGCTCTGCAGAGCCTGGAAACCTTCTTAAAGAAGGATCCTGGGGACAGTACTTGTATGCCTTTTCTTAGGAAGAATTATGAAAACATACTAGATTCATTCGTATCAGATTTAGTAAAAACTCTAAACAAAATCTAAATGTTGGGACTTTGACTGAAATCCAGCAAAACACATACGGATATAATCAGTGTGGGGCTTCAAAGGGGTTAAATACATGCCAAATACATGCTACATGTTAAATACACATGCTTAAGTGCTTTGCTAATTTGGGACTAAAATTACTTGATGTCTTCCCTCAAGCGGACAAAAGTTATACTGGTAGCCAAAAGCTCTGTCACTTATGTCTGTCTATCACCTAACAGGGGCATGACTGGTAAGCTTTTATGTTTGCAAAGGAAGTATTAAATTAAGGTTAAGTAAAAGGGTTTTTTTGTTGGCTCCTAGTGGTTTTAAACCCAGAAAACCACAAGAAACCCAGTTCACTCTTCAAAATTAGAAAGTTTTCCCTTCCTTATCTTCTCAACACCATTTTTAATCAGTTATATACTTATTTACTGAAAAGAGTAAACTCCTCAAGATGCTTTGATTTCCAAGACTAAAGGAAAGTCTCTACGACAAAGGCTTTGGCAGTATCACTTACCCATAAAGCCACACTAACAAAGCCCGTATCCCACCAAAAGCAGTTCTTTTGCTACTAACAATTAAACCAGGTCCTCAAATGACAAACTATGGCAACAAGAGGTCTCTTTTGCTGGTGCAGATTCATCTACCTGGAGAATTTTGCTGACATGTCCATGCCACATAGGGGTTTTTTTTCCACACACCTAACCAACATAGTTATGACAGCAACATTTTATAGTGTTGGCCCAACTAACAGGTGTTAATGTTTCTGCTTCGGTCGTTGCATATTTTTCACAAACGTGTCTCAGTGTTCTGTGGGGAAGACAGCAAAAATCATTCCATTAGACAAACCTACAAACAAGGATTAATCTATCTTTATTCTCCTACTGGATCTCAAAATCACCAAGGGAATGCTATACAAATTTGTTACTATCCCACTCGTAATAAACAAGTTAACTTCTGTTAATCTGTCTTCCATCCTCTTTAACCATCCAGAACAACCTTTCTTTATTTTATAGATCATATCTACTCTGATCTGGACAAAAGTCACTATACAGCTGTAGTCCTTCAACTGAATTATAGGAAGAAGAGATGCACTGTTTCTAGTGCTCATCTTTGACTATTCAGCTGCAAAGATAAGGGGCACTGCTGAAGGAGTAACAGCATCTCTGAATTACAATCAAAATATGACAAAGCTCAGCTTTTCCCCAGTCTTAGTTGTTTCATTAATTCTTTTCTCAGTCCTGAGGAAGCAATCCTAACAATGGGCCTGATGGGTGCCTCCTGGAGAATCTACAAGATTAAGTGGAGACCTTACTGGTACCAGTTCCTGCCTTGCACATGCATCCTCTGACCCAGTAGCCCCAGGCCTTCTAGAACTAAAGATTCACCTACTGGATCAGTTCAGTGGAGACCCTTTCAATTTCTGTCGGTTCCTTCATCAGTGATGACTGATATTCCTGATCTGATCACAAATGGTTCTATGATTCTCTGCTGACCACATCAAGGTGTGACTTATGGTTCTCAAACCAGAAAACTTTAGATTGTGCCTTGAATCTTCTGGAAAAGTCAAGCCCAAACTTGAACTGTCTGAAAGACTTCATTCAATGACATCCATAATTTTTGATGACCACATCATTCATGAGGAGTGGAAGATGCATTACAGACTGTGTCAGGAATGTAACTCAGTTACTAGCTATCCCACAGAATTTTGACATCTTGTCATGGACACTGAGTGGAATGAAACCACTCAATGACATTAATTTCACTGAGGGCTGAATAAGGAAATGGAATGGAACCCCTGTTTTCTCTAGATATTTTAATTAATTTATTCATCCAATTCCCAGAAAAAGTCAAACATGCTGAGAATACCTCCAGCTGCATCTTTCATGGGTCACCTATCATGGGCTTCCACTCTTGTCTTCACCACTGAACGGATGCAAATCCATTTCTCACAGAGTAAGAAAAAAAATGGGCACTGGGAAAAATAACTGTGTCTTTATTGTGGATGATCTGGATGTGTTGTCAATACCTGCTCCGTAAGTCCATTCTAGAAACCTGGTTCAGACACCTGTGCTCTCCACCACGGCTCTGACCATTTGGCAGATCACCCATACCCCAGTAGTATTAAAAATCTAAGCTATCAAGGGAAGTGGTGGATTCACCATCTCTTGACTGAGTGCCTTTCTGAAAGATATACTTTAGGTCCCCGGCACACGTTACAGTTTAGATGCAATTAACCCAGTTAATCATGTCCCAAGTTGTTACCAGGCCACACATTAGTGCAATTAATAGCATGATAAACAAGGAATAAGCCACAAAGTTATTACATAAAAATGTGTAATAACTTTGTGGATGGTTCCTATCATGCCATTAATTGAATGTGTGGCTGAGCTGGAGCTCCCAGCTGACAGATCCCAGCCACAGGGGTGGATGGTGCACACCTGCAGTTGGGAGCCCCATCAGCTGATAGATCCCAGCTACAAGGGTGCATGGTATGCTCCTGTGGCCAGAAGCCTGGATCTGCTGACGGCTCCCAGCCACAGAGGCATGGTGTGTCCCTGCAGCTGGGATCTGCCCACGGGACTCTCAGACCCGGAAGCACATGGTGTGCCTCTGCAGCATGTCAGGAAGTGTGATTGTGGGGATCATGCATCAAATACCACTGCACTTTCACTTGCATGTCCACCAGGGGCCTCAATATAATACACATTATCGGGATCAATATAGAGGTGACTGAATGCTGAATGCCTCTAAAGGCTGGGGAGACACGGCAAGCTCCTGCAGGCAGCGGCAGCACTGTTGGTGGTAGAAGTGTGGTGGAGGCAAGTGGGGAGCTGCTGCAGGCAGCTGCAGCACTGTCGGTGGTGGGGGATGGTGAACACCGACCAGTAGTTGGTGACTACCCGCAGACACCGCCGGCAGCATCAGTGGTGGCCAGCGGCGATCGTGAACTGCCTGCAGACGCCACCAGCAGTGTCAGCAGTGCCTTTTCGCAGGGGGTGCACTGCCACGCTCAGGAGGTGCACGTGTACCCGCGTGCACCCCCTACACATTGCCAATGCATTGGGTGAATCCGCCAGTGATACATGGGAAGTCAGACTATATGATTTGCTGGTCCCTTCTGAGCTTAAACTCTAGGAACCTATAAACTCAAATAAATAACTTCTCTTTTCAGATCCTACCTCACTCTCAAATATTACTGGTTTGTGGTTTCTGGATCTCTTATAAAGAGTGGTTTCTTACAGCAAGCAACAAGGTGAGTTCCTTAGTAGAGTAAAAGCCACAGTAATTTTACCTTTTGGGGATGTGGCAGGGACACCTAGGTGCAAATGGCCACCAAACTCCCCAGTTTTCCTTTTAAGTATGGTGTTCTCTTGAACAGAGAGGATGTTTAGCAGGAGCAGGAGGAAAGAGACTTAATTTCACAGGCAACTGAGCTTGTACAAATGCTTAATTCTATCACTTGCTTATGTTTATGCCTCAGAATGTGGCTTCTGCTATAGTCACAAAAATGTCTGCAGACTACAGTATAAAACCGACATCTTTTCCAACCCGTCTTGTCCCTGCTTATGTGCACACAGCTAAATCACATCTGCCAGCTCTTACTGACCTAAAAATGTTTCTTCCATTTAGCTCTGCCCAAACCACGCAACTAGGGGAGAGCAGGCTGGAGTCTATTCTGAATGACATATTGGCAACAGAACCGTTGGCTAACTGTCAGTAGCCTCATTATCACCAGAATTAGTGTATAAACAAGAAAGAACCCAACTTGGTTTTCCAATAGAATAGAGTTTATACCCCTGACAACAAGAAAAATTGCTTTACACACTTAACCAACTAGATCTGGATTTATTGGAAGAACATAAATATAAATAATGAACCTTGTACTATTATCATTATTGCCATTTTTTAAAGAGAAACTTTCCTGACTTCAACCACAATTTTATGTTACATTTGGGGGAGACAGAGAGGGCTGCAACAGAATTTGGATTCAGATTAAAAAAAAAAGAACAAAAGAAAACAAACCTCAACATTTTGGGATACTTGTATTCAGACTTTTGATCTGTCCCATGATTTAAATAGAGACCGTTTATAACAAACGCTGAGATCCACAGTTGGCTTTGATTTTGGAATCTTGGATCAGGCCCACTAGGGAGCTAAAGAATATAACATTGTAAAAATAATTGGGGTTTACTCCCTCCTCCCAACACATACCATATTCAAGTTAGGAAATGAGGAGAGCAGAAGGCTGTCTTTCTTGGCTAAACCTTCCGACTAGCCATCCTTATTTTCCAATTGTCGAGTTGCATTTCTCTAGACTGAAAGCTGGGATAAAAGAATGAGTGAATAACGGGATCCTTTTCATCCCTGAACACTTCAAGTGTACAAAGGCAAAGAAGTTTCTCCCTGTGGTGCCCTTGAGCAGCCCGGAGCTCTTCTCAAATGATATAAGAGGTGTGGTTCTTCCTTCACTAGGCTCTCTTCTGAAAAATTTTCTGTGCTTGTACTGAGACCAGGAGATCCAAAGAGACCAGGCAAACAGAGCAGCAACTTACATTGACAAAGAGGATTTTGATGCACTCCTCCGAATGGGGCAGCATTACCATGTTAATAGCCTTTTGCTCTCAGCCCTCTTTTCCTGAGGACGCTGGCGATTTTTGCGAATGGAGAACAGTTCCGCTTTCCATTTTAAGTGCAACAATAGCAGAAGGACTCCTTAAACTGCATCAAATAGCAGCCTGTGAAATCCCTAACTAGCCACACCGCCTCTCCTGCCGTTTTATTATCCTCTCGCCCATGGAACAAAAGAAGGGGCAGGGGGAAAGCTTCTCCTTGTTTTAGCCCTTTCCATGCATCCTAATCCTTCAGAGGTGGCAATGGGAATTGCTTGTAGAACTGTTAAATCGCACTTTTACTTTGTCTTTTATTCCCTTCTCGTTCTCTCTAATCAAGGAATCTTCATGCAAGTTTTCCAATATGAATCTGTTTATGGCCCCTTGGTTAATAGATGCAAGATGGGACCCCCAGAGTAAGAAGAAAGAATTCTGTGCATCTTGGCCAGCTGCTGTTTCTCACCAGTTCCCACACTCATCCACTTGTTCTCTTGTCAGATGCCCTGAATGTGCTCACCTCCTGACACCAACTGAATTACACAAAGACTGAATGGGTAAGCTGCTTCTGCTATTAGCCTAAGAAACAGATTCCATTTGGTAGCCCTAAGATATCCTTCAGCCATCGACAGAGGTCCCATCTTTTACTAGACTCACCTTGGTCACCTGTTGCTCAGCATCCAGTTACCTTTCAAAAAGAAGCATTAATTTCACATCTCAAGCAGTTTGTAGCCACCCTCTAGGCAGCAGCCTGTGCTACCTTGTACCAGATACCTAACTGCTACCTGGCTAGATTTTTTTTGACACTCAGCCATTTCCAAATGTTTTGCCTCACTCCTTTTTGCTCAGACCAGTATAAATAAACCACAATACTAATAATGTGAGTCCTGAATATAGGAAGCTTACCCACAAGAGCTGGCACATTCAAGTACATAAAACTATCTGCACAAGTATGTGCTCACAGATGTATGTGAGGATTGCACAACCAAGGGCTTAATACTTAGACACCGCATCACAAAAAAGGTGAATTTATTAAATAGAACCAAAATAAACAGGGAGTATAAAAGCCAAGAAGTACCAATCATAGAGTTAGATTTAGTCCTGTGACTTATACGGTTCACACAGCAATCTGATCTTTGCCCAGGATGTTAACTGCTCCACGGAATAGCCTGCAGCAAATTAGCAAGGAAAATGATCCTCTTTTTCTGCCTATCCTTTATTAAAATCCATCTTCTACTACAATAAGGAAGGAAAAATACCTAACAAACAAACATAAAAGAATTTAAAAGCATAACTGCCTGATCAAAGATTAATGTGTTGCTAGAGCAAATAAAAGGTTCCAACTGCTTCCTAGAAGTACAAAGAATGCAAGACAAAGGAGAATACAGCTTGTTTAGATTAATCTGGGTTTCTCTCTTATCATCCTTTAAGAAAACAGTGAATAGTGATTTAGCATTGCTCACCAGGATTTAAAGGATAAAAGGCAAAGAGCAACTGCCATATCCCTAAAAGAGTGCTGCCCAAAAGCCAACTTGAGAGGGTCCTACTCTACCACAACAGCAAATGAGATTGGGTCAATTTGTTTGTTTTAGGGGGTAAAATCCAATCACTGACAACCTGTATTCCTGATTAAGAAAAGTGGATTCAAGTAAATAAAAATACAAGATAGACCCATCTAGTCTCTGACTCAGGGAATCCTTCCTTCCTAAAGCTTTCTTCTGTTTTTGTTCAGATATTAGAAAATGGGTTCACTAACTAGGGATTATTTTCATAATTCTGGAGATGTTTGTGATGGGCATAAAGTAGCCCCTTTTTTTTACTTGGGATGGACCTAAAAATGTCTATACCACCCCCCTTGCCAGTATCACAGAAATCATAGAAAATTAGGGTTGGAAGGGACCTCAGGAGGTCATCTAATCCACCCTCCTGCTCAAAGCAGGACCATCCCCAACTAGATCATCCCAGCCAAAGCTTTCTCTAACCAGGTCTTGAAAACCTCCAAGGATGGAGATTCTACCTCTCTCTGGGTAACCTATTCCAGTGTTTTACTACCCTCCTAGTGAGAAAATTCTTCCTAATTTCTAACCTAAACTTCCCTTGCTGCAACTTAAGACCATTGCTCCTTTTCCCATTTAAAGTAATGAGAGTTTTCCCTGATTTCTGTAACTGATTTAAAGTTGCTAATACCAAATGAGGCAGGCTTAACCTCCATTGAGTACAGTGTCCAATACAGAGCATCCAATGTACCCCACAGCAAATCGCTTGGATAAGTGAGGCTGGAACAAAAGTGGATATACTGAATAAATCTGTGTCCCTTTTTGACATCTGTACATTTCCACAGGTCTGAGCCCATCCAGTCACAAATACATCATAAGCCTGGAATTGTGGGATTTTTTTGGTATTTTTCATACGTACCACACAGACAATGTTTCATACACCCCAACCACGGGGGCCTGAGGTTTATAACATTAGCTTCAAAACAGGCAAGAAAGTGCTTTTCTGAATGGTGGGTGCTGATATGCCCAGCATGGTACACTGGTGCAGTTGTAAAAATAGCTGAAAATCAACCCACTAACCAATCAAAATTAGTTTAACAATTCTGAATTCAGTACAGTTCTGGTGGTCTAATCTGTCAACAAATAAATGCAATGCCTATGTTACAGAAAACCATGACTGTATTTGTGGCCATGTGACCTCCATATTAGAGTGAACAGGACACAGTAGTGATAATGATTTGCTGTGTGTTTATCGACTTTAGCCTCCTTACTAAGATGGGACCATATTATAATTCATGTTATATTGAGACAGGTACATTTCTCTTTGAGAGAAATTTGGGAGATTTGATTAATTACTTTAACTCAGATCTCACATATGTGGGGTCATGCAATAATATAACTCAGTAAAAATTAAAATAGTAAAAGGAAAGTAGCAACAGAATCTCATTTGCTAGATACTTTGTTCAAATACAGCCTTTTCATTACTGATCAACAGCACCATGTTGCCTACAGCACCTCTATGCCTAATTAAATCATATCTTGGTAACGCAAAATATTTTCCTTTTTAGGTCTTACCTTGAAGAACCAAACCAGATTTCTCAATGGTGTAGAGGAAAGCTGAGAATGGAGCAACAGGGGATTTAGCGACCAGGATCTGCAGAACAAATAAATACAAACGATTAAAAATCCCTAAAATATATTGATTACAAGTCAAGTGGACTAATGTCTGTAAGTCAGTTTTCTGAAGATACTATCATGAATTAAAACAAAACATATTGCAGAGGGATTATAAAATGGCTATTGATGTATCCTTCTAGTTCTAGATACTAGAGCCAAATGTAAAATAAGTAAAGACTGTGCCATTATATTAAAAGGAGTCAAAGGTCCTATAAAATCTTGCTTCTGTGGAAACAGCACACTACTGCCACTGCTGTACTTTTCTCAAAATGTGTGTTAAACCAGATCAAACTTCACAACTACTTTTGTACCTAGAGAGAGACAATGCCATTCACCTGAAGGCTGTGCTATCTACCTGCGAGGAGGTTGCAAGTGCTTTGTGCCCCTGCAAGAATCCAGCCTAGAAGATGTTCCTTTAACAGAAACTTTGGAACATAGTCTGTGCCAATGACACTAAACAAAGTTGTGGTTTAGATGCATAGGCTTGTGAATTTCAAAACGTGGATGCAAATTTCCTCAAGTTTAGATCATTTGAGCTGTTCATGCTCTAATGTCCAGTTGGATCCAGAATATTTCAAACCTCAGTTTTGATCACACGTTACTGAAGAGGAGATTGGCTCTGGTGGAATTTTGACACCCAGGAGACAGGCTTATTTTATTATTCAGGCATGGGAGAACAATACTCAAGTGCCAGATACCAAAGCCTGACATACCTGCGCTGAGTTATTACTGATGGTTGAGGAATACTGACTTACAGCATATACTTAACAAAGAAAATTGTTATTGCCTATCTGGAAAGTGCCATTCCAATAACGAATGTAACAAATTTTGCCTTCAGAATAATCAGCCCAAACCATGATCCAGCAAAGAAATTTGAGACTGATAGCGTTGAGTGCAGCCAAGTGTGCACTTCTGCTCTTCCTCCAAAACGGGTCTGCTGAGCAAATTGGAAGCAGATCTCCCTCTTCATGTCTTCCACAACAAAAAAAAAAAAGAAAAAAACTAGAAATCCCTTTCCCAGGTTTGAGGTTTTAGAACAGCATTCTTGATTTCACAGCCCTAGAGGTACCATATAAGTAAGGCTGCTGGCCTAATACACATTCTGGTCTTTTTCAGAAATTTGCTTTAAATGTAGCCATGTCATACCACTGCCCAGAAAATATACCAGGCCTGACTACTGTTTTTACATATAAATTCCATTTACACAATAACTACAAAGCTCTCTTGTCAGCACATACCAACACACATCTCTTTCTCAGGGATTAACATCCTAAAGACTTATAAACAGGCCAACTTTCTCTACCCCAGGATGTGCAATAGACTCATCCATTTTTCCATGCCTGTTAAGAGCCAGCAGCAGAGTTATCCCTTAAAAACTGCATGCTTTGTAGTATCATTTACAGTAATGACTTAATTTTTAGAGGTGTGTAGTACCAACATGTCCCCTTGACTTCAACTAGAATTAGGGGTACTCATTGTTTTTTGAAACTCAGGATCTAAGTCAGCAAAACTCTCCAGCACATATTTAGAAGCAGCTAAACTGGGGATCATTTGATAAGGATGTTGGCTGTCTGTTTCTGCTAAAATGATCAGCAATAAAATAGTTAACCTTTAGAGCACCAAGTTTCCAAGTCAACATCCTCCACAGATAAAAGAGGGAAGTTCACACCCCTCAGAACTATTATTTAAGATTTGCCTGAAAACTCAAGCAGACAACACTGAATTATTTTACACTCCCAAATTTCTTCAATGGTTTGCTCACAAACACAAAGGCTAGAACATTAACAATATCCACAAGGAAAAAGCCCAGGTTCTGGAGCACAGTTCTGCAGCAAGAGGTAGATTCTGCAGGAAATTCTGCAGCCACTAAATCATGCAACACATAAGCTTCCAGGAAGTGTTGAATGGCACAGTAAACATGGAGAAAATCTCTACAGTTACGTATGTTCTGTTTGCATTCTTAGTCATCTCACAGATCATTTTCAGATTTCATGTGACCTGGTTTCAACTGATTCTGATAAAGCCAGTAGGAAAATAAAAAGTCATCCTGACATCTGGTCTGAAAACCTACTCCCATATTTGCTTTACCCCCACAACTTGATGCAAGCCTTGCATTTTCAGAATTTACCATTAACTGTTGGTTTACTCTGCATGTTACCTTCACTAATAAAGTAAGAAAAAGAGGCAGACACACAAACACAGCAAGTACAGCCAAAGAACACAGGGTCAGTCACCAACGTCAGTGTTTTCCTTTGAGTCACGTGTAGCCAGCAAAGCCATCTCAGGATGAGATGTAACCTTTGTGACCTGCTCTGTGTGGAAAAAAGTGCAATGCAAGCACTTTCCCCTCCTGCACATAAATTACTGTTCTTACTGTAACAAGCGGCTGGAGAAGTGTGTTGCAGTCCATGACTGTGATACATCCTGACAGTATCAGAATTCCCTTTCCTGTACTTATCCTCAGGCATCCTTTCCTTTACTTGGATGTCTTAGTACTTCTCATTTTAATGTAGGAACAGAGAAAAGGCAGAAGGCAGGGTAGATAGAAAAGCCATAGGAAAAGAAGCGTCACTGTTTGCCCTGATCGTGCTTGTTTTGTCTGCAAAGTGCTAACATGAAAATAGTGCACATTCTTTTTCATTTAAGGTCACAACAGGTACAAAAACCATAGTAATACTTCATTACAGCCTCAATTGGAGCAGCTGGATGACTCCATTAAACAGATCTCTAGTCTTTCCACCAGTTGTCTTTCCTGCCAGGTGCACGAGCTGGACTCAGTGATCTTCCAAGGTCCCTTCCAGCCTCACAATCTATGAATTTATGAATCTCAAATGAAACAGGTTACTAATTTGCTGGGTCAAATTTCTACCTCTCTCTGTGGGTACATTTGCTAAACTATATTTACATAGGCATTAACCACAACTTCATGTGTAAATCGGTAAACATCCAAAAAAGTGTGTATACACAGTTGTTGCATTTTTATGCTTTCTAAGTACATGCCTAAATAGGTATAGGTATATATATATGCATGTGCATACTACAGATTTCCTTTAAAAAAATGCATCATAAGGTGCTATAGCTGAGGTTTAAAATAAGGCAGAACTATTTTTCATTCAATTTCTCTGCAGTCTAAGAAAGACAGCTTTTAAAATAAGACATTGAGAAGGGCTATCATTACAACCAGAAAAGTGAGAGAGAAAATTTGAATGAGAAATAAATTTAGAATTAAAATTACATATGAACATAATTTTTGCAAGTGTACCTGATTTACATATAGACCAATTGAAAACACTCCACTGAGAGAACAACCACAGGATAGGAATACAGAGAAACACCCACTTTCACCCCTGAGTTGGAAGCAACATGCCTCATTCCATGTCCTTGAAGTGAGATGGGTGCCTAAATCTACCAGCTAACTAATCTCTTATGCACAGAGGCCAACGGGACTGGGACATATGCCAGCAACCTCCTTGATAACCCTTATGTCATTCTTTAAGGATCTGTAGGATCAAAGATATAAAGGAGAAAGAGGGAAGCCTGTTACCTGCTAGGCTAAAAGGCATCTCATGTCTACCTTACATCTGGTAGTACCCCTGTCACCAGGGAGAATAGACATTGGTTGACAGGTCAGGTGTGGCAAGTTAGATAGGGTTTCCAGCACAATAAAGGTGCAGGAACACTGAAGCAGATAGGTTTAATGGAGAAAATGAGCATTCAAATGCTCAGGTAGCTTTAATTATAGCTGTTGCACCAGCTTTAATCTAATCCTGATGGGGTTTGTAATTGGAACCTGGATTTTAATCCAAGTTGTGTATGGGGAGGAGGCAATATTTTAACAGAATGAGACAAAATCCTGGCCCAACAACCCCAAATCTGAGGGCTCAAAATTCAGACCTGAAATGTGCACGCTTAATGCAGAGGACATTCCCCAGTCCTTTGTTTGATTTCTCATGAAAAACGCAACTAATTAAGCTTTTTAATCCTCCATTGATAAATTTATCTACAGTCCTGGCATCTTGTAGCACAGTTTAGCCATTTGTATCCTGCTGGAAATGCCAAAAAAATATTTCCTCTAGTGGTCTGTTGTTTGGTGAGGTGGGATGAAATGGTTCAATAAGGAGCATCTGGCTAAGTAAGTTATATGATAGAATTTCTGGAAAGGATACAAAGGAATGAGGTAAGCTACATCTCTCAATACATTTTCTGGAGACATTGATTTCAGTGTAATCAAGGAGAGTATGCGTTTAACGATGGATGAAATAATGTTATGTTGAGATTTAAAAAAGTCAATTGGTAACTAGACTATTACCAACTATCAATTAGACTATTTTGAAAATTTAAAAAATAAAGGTAGTGAGGCTGCATTGATTTTTTTCCAATTCTGGTTATTCACAAGCTTCTGGAATGAACCATAACTACATGAGTGGTTATTCATTACAACCTTAAGGGGAAATGGTAGAAGCTAAAACCAAAGCCATGCCAAACCTCTGACATGGCAAGAACTGTCAGATCTTTGTTCCATTTCTTTTCATCCCAGTGTCACATATATCATGAAGACAGGCTTGTAATAATCATTTATTTGCCAACATCATGTGATAGATAGAATCATAGTGTTGGAAGGGACCTCAAGAATCATCCAGTCCAACTCCCTGCATAAAAGCAGGATGCACTATTCTTATACTATCCCAGATGAATGCTTATCTGTCCTTTTCTTGAAAACCTTAAATGAAGGAAATTCTACAACTCCTCCAGGCAGCTTATTCCACTGTCCTACTGTTTTGACAGTAAGGAAGTTTGCTGCAGTTTAAAACCCACTGATAAAACCATTACCCTGCCCTGCCCTACCATAATGTAACTAGCAGTGGGCAACTAGAGCACCAACCCCAGGCACAACTAAGAAGTGGTGCAAGAATGACAGCTCTCTGGGGAGTCTGTGCCATAGCAGCAGCAAATGACCAGGAGATAGACAGACTGCATCATGGCAGCAGCAGCCAGGGACTTCGGGCATTTGT